GTCGTGGAGGTGGTCGCGAGGGTTGCAGGTATGTGCTGCGGCGGAATTCGGTAGCTATTGGAAGGTGATCGGTGCTCTTGACACCGGCGGGATGGTACGCCGTGTCTCCGCTCTTGTCGAGGTCGTCCATGTCGAGGCTGGCTGCGGTCTTGTAGCTAGGGTCCTCGTGGCGGCGCTTGACACCGCAAAGCAGCCAGCGCATACCGCGGCCGAAGGCCTTGACAAAGTCCCATAGGTTAAGGGCGTCTCCGACAGCCTTTAGACCCATCCATCCGCCGGCGGGGGCCGTATGTACGTTTTCGCGGAGGGGAGCATGGCTGTCTCGAGAGTCTGCGGACGGGTAGTATGTAGTTTTGGCGCCCGGGACATAAGGGGCGTAAGGGAAGGCCCAGAGATGGAGGAGGGCGAATAGTGCCATTTCGAAACACAGAAGCAGGGCGGGAATGCCGACTTTGATGTCCGGGTAGGCCAGGACTTTGTTCGGGTGGACAAGGTCGAGCGTCGAGGTGGCGAGGGAAATGCAGGTGACCTGCCAGAAAGAGAAGAAGACCACAAGCTTGATGGCAAGGACCTTGAGGAAGGGTGAGTGCTCTTTGAGGGGTTCTCTCATCTGGACGTAAAACTGAATGACGGAGTACATGGCAATCGTGACGGCCACACAGTTGATCGAGATGACCTGTTCTTGTTAGTCAAGGCATCCGCATGGTTTAGGGGGGCAAAGAAGGCATACCCAGATGTGAGCAAAGACTGGGTTGTTTGAGCTTTCGCAGTAGCGGTGGAAGTATTGGGTGACGACGGCCGTGACAGTCATGGCGACGCGGATAAAGACGTAGTGATATACACCAATCCAGATGACGTTGAACCAAGTCAAGCCGCTTTTGGGCGTGCGCCAGGGTCCTCTCTGTCCTCCACAGCACTTTGCAAACCAATCGAGAGGCCAGACCCAAGGCTTGATGGGGTAAAGATTGCGGAAGTAGTCTTTCTGGGTATGAACATCTGGGGCGAGGTAGTGGCACATGAGCGAGAAGAAGGATGCGATGGCGAAAGCCTCATAGCAGTCGCTCATGAGCTGGAAGTAGACCGCGTGCCAGTAGTACCAAAGCTGAAGAAAGGACGAGGCGGCGTAGACGGGGACCATGAAGAGAATGCGGATAATCTGACGCTGCTCGCGTGGCTTGGTGTAGTTGATAGAGTGCATGAAGACGAGGTAGAAGGATAGGCATATTGCGATGATGGTGCAGGAGCCGGCGATGATTAGGGCGAGGTCGTGGAAGGTCAGGGGGCCAGCGATGAGGATCTCGGAGCCGGGAAGGACTTGAGAGAGAGAAGAGGGCTTGTTAGCTTTCTTGCACAATCACAATGTCTCATGAGATTTGGATTGGGGGGTTTCAGGGTCGAGTGACATACTCCTCAGCTCCTCGAGCGTTGAATTACACGTTAAATTCATGGCGACGACAACTCAGCACCGTGCCGAGGGTGACCTCCGGGTTACGGGGTATCGTGTATGGAACGGAAGGCCCGGAGAGTATGGCAGCGCGGTACGGGAAGAATACAAGCGGCGTGGGATGGAGCAGACGATGACGATGTCGGTGTGGATGAGGGCGGTGGGTTGGGGTTTAACGGTTGTGCCAAGACTGGTGCGCTGCAGGAACAGAGCGGATGCCGGTCTTGGCAGAGCTTGCTCGCCTCGTGGCTCTGGACTGCGATCGGGGCGGGTCGCGTGGTCGCAAACGGGCTCGAAGAGAAGAGGAAAAGGTTGAATTTCGTGTTCAAGGCGACAGAGTCGTATTCCAGGATGGCTTCCTCGTTATAATTCTACCGGTTCAAAGCGACCTTCTCCCTTCAATTCGCGCCGTGTCTCTCCCTCTGAGACGAGTATGTTTGTGGGTTTCTGTGGGTGCTAGAAGATCGTGGCCGAGTGGTTCAAAGGGGATGTCTTTCCCCAGTCCGCGCCCAGTAATGTAGTCGCACGTCGATCCTCCTCTTGCAAGATTCCACAAAAATATTAACGGTCCGTGGCGCAATTACAGCTGGGGATTGTTCCTTTTCGTCGTCGGTCGAGGTTCTGGGTATCGTTTCGGTTTTCGTTATCGGGAGTGCCGTTGAATAAAATACAGGGTAGGTAGTATGAAGAAGGTAGATGGGACAATCGACGGAGGATTCCCGCGGCCAAGAAGCAAAAAAACAATCAGAGCAAGGTAGAATCAGAAGAGTAGACAGACGCGCACCAAGGAGACGGCCGTTGTGGTGAAGGGATTTGGAAGGAGGGAAGAAGAATGACGAAAGCGCAGACTTGGAGGAGGGGGGGAAATTGGCGAGAGACATACAACCCGTCGCTCAGGAGGTAAGCAAGCAAGCAATGGGCATGCTTCCCTCCTGCAGCTGTAGGAGGTACTCCGTGACTTGGTAGGGGACCAGGGGTACCGGGTACTTCAAGGTGCATTACCTAAAGTAAGGTGCTATCCGTAGCGTAAGGGCAAGACACTGGAAAGAGTCCGGGGCCGTTTGCCAAGTGGCTGAGTGCCAAGGGTCAACGACGGAGCGGACGCGCTAAGATTACAGGGCCGCTGACGACGGCGGCATCCAGTCAGCAGCGAGATCCCTCCCGCCTCCGGGACAACGCAGCGCCGCCCTTCAGGGGTTTCCCCTTCACATGGCCCTTTCGTCTCGACTTTTGGGCTACTCAGCCGTACCAAAGTACGCAGTACACAGCCGTGGCACGCGTGGAACAGCATCATTGTACAAGTCCACCTCACCAAATCCCCATTGTCCAACATCGGATGCTCAATGCAAAAGAGCGTCACCGCCTTGCTATGATCAGTGCCGGTTACCGAGAATATCTATTTGTGTCATTATCTGCCTTAGATTGGGTACATCTACGCCACACTTCTACCGTCGCGAAATCAACATCTTTAGAGTAAGGTATCCGTACGTCGTATGGGCAACTGTGAACGCGTCACTCGTACGGGGCAATGTCATTACCATCTCTTATTTCAATCTTTTTTTCTCTCTCCGTACGGAGCACTGCGACGGGTCATGAACAGGGATCCAATGCCAAACAGCCGGGCTCCCTCTTCCCCTTCCCTGGGCCCCTTCCTCAAATCTTTTCCCTCCCGCGCGGCGTTTTAGAATTCGGAAACAAAGGAGAGCAGATTAAAAAAAAATTCGATCCCTGCTTATTTTGCGACCCAAGGCTTGGATTGGAGGCTTGAACGAACAGCACAACAAGACCAGCTCCCACTCGTTACCTATTAAAATCCCCGATACGACCACTGCGTATGGGATGTGCAGCGGGTGCGCACGCACAGCGGCACGATGGATTTTGCCCGCCATGCACTGATCTTTATTGATGCAGGGACTCGGCCTCGATCAACCTCAAGCACACTCAATCAACGTCATTCATTTCGTCCGAGCCATCTTTCAGTCTCCTGCACAGCAAAACTCTCCGTCCTCCTCGCCGCCGCCAGCGGCTGATCAAACACACGGCCCATCGCATTGAGACGAACACCGGACGGACTGACAGATGCGACGTCACAGGCCTCCCAAAGAACGGGGGAAACCCGATGCAAGAGAGAAACCACCTTCACATTTCCCTTCCATCGCGAATTCTGCCTCACTCATACTATGTATTAATTACCGCGGCTCCGGGACCACGACGACGAAGCAGAAAAAGTCAATGCCAACGTGCCAAGCCCGCCCCCATGTTCCATATTTTGTTCCTGGAGACGCGACGACATCCCACTTTCCGCACCTCTCCGCCGTACAGATACCCGATACAAAGTCCCATCTCAGAAATACTTTCTGTCCATACCTATGTGAAGGAGGCTATTCCCACTTTGTCAGCCACAATTCAGGCGTGGTCGTCGTATACCATACAGCCCTGGTCGACGGTACCATGGTTCTCAGTCCCAGGCCCATCTCTTTTTGGCATTTCCTCTCCTCTCTATCAAAAATACGAGTCAAACCAACATTAGTACCTGTTCGTATTTCTCGTATACGAATAACCGACCGCGTATTTCTCTTCCATCAAACTCACCAGTATCCTCTGCACAACATATCTTAGTATCCAACTACAAACACAACAAATGCAGCCTGCCATTCATCACCCATGCGCTATTCATGATCCTTTGTTTGTTTCGGTACGTACCCGCCCCTTTCACTCTTACCTTACCTATGTTCAATGTCTCTCACACCCGAAACTCAGTTTCGGCTGGGACTTTGTGCCACCAACCTAATACGCCCCCATCTCGAACAGTTACCTAGGTATCTCATTGCTCTTCAGCCCCAAATGACCGCCCCATTCCCCCTCATCCGGTTTGTTTCGAAACATGCAGCCTCCCATCGATCCATTAATTCCTTCCCTCGCGCCCACGCTCAATGAAAGTATGCTTATCACACTTAAACACGGACGCCTCAAAGCCGCCATCAGATCCTCGGAGAAAATTCAAACACATCGCACTTGATTCCCGTCGTGAAATAGGGGATGCTCACGGAGGTGAGGGGGAAAATAGTGCCACTATCGACGCCTCCTTCCTTCGAAGCCCACCCGCCGAGGAACACGTCCGATCAGGAGGAGACTAAGGCTCCTAGTGCAGCCAGTCCGCTCCAAAATTCTGCACCACTAACTATTTTGCGCATGACGCCAGTCCGTCCGCCTCGATTGAGCCTCATCTCAAGCCTCTGATCAAAAATATCAGGAAAAAGGGGAAAGATCTACGGCACTCGGGACACCAAAGTGAACGGCAACGCAAACCAACAAACACAACACATGGAATCATCAGATCACTACCAAAGAGGGTCTCCCAAACTTATCTACGAGTTGCAATATGTGACGAAGAAGCAGACGAAAGACGGACTTTACCATCACCAAATCCGTCGGAGAAGTCAGCATACCTAGCTCAGGCATGTGAATTGTAAATCCACAATCTCCGTATGAAAAACACTCCAATTCTTTCTCCATTCATTCCATCCACACACACACACACACCCTCCGAATCCAGATAATCAGATCATTCAAACCCACTCCGAAATCCACTCCTCCTTGTCCTCGCATCCAAACATTACGCTAAGCTTTTCCGCAAAGCACCCACCTATATCTAATGAAACAGCAGCACCTAGGTAAACCATCTAATCACGTCCACCAACCTGCCAGTACTGCCCAAAAACAAACCCTTGCGGCCAAAAATTACCAATGACATCAACAGGTATCCGTAGACCGTAACCAACCAAACATGACATTGACGGTATAGTTATCCGTATTCATAAGGGCCTCACGGCCTATCATCTATGGGATTTCATCAGAGACTCAGAGCAGCAGTCCACCCCACATCTAAAAGTTGCGATCGACCGCGCCCTGCTTCCGCCCCATCCATCCCCGGCCGTGACCTATCCGTACCTCTTCCGACCCTCTATCTTCTTCCCTCGCTCTCTACCACACTACTACTGTACGTAACACAACTCCAAGTTTTCAGGTTTCCTCTCAACGCACAAACAAAATCCTTTCGGGCAACCTTGTCCTCCAACGCCGGCTCCAATGCTGAAGTAGGCTTTACGCGAAGAATCGCAAGCAATAGAGAGTCTGAATCCCTGCGCCCTGAGCCTTGTGCCCATTCGTGGCTCATTCATGATTCATCCAACATGTGTTCCGTCCACCGTTACAACGTCCACCCCCGTACTCCCGCATCCGGTATGCATACACACTCGAGTCCCCGAGCCTTTTCCTTGCCGGTCCCGGTTCGACCTAGCGAGAAGTTCTCATGGATGGTGCCTGAGATCACGGCGTTTGTATTCATGTGAGATTCACGCTATCACTTATTGTACCCATATGGCGAAGACATGCATCATTTGTACGCGTTCGATTGTTATTATGATTGTCGCAACTAGCTACAGAACTTTTCTTTCGCTCCAGTGACCATTGTGCACAGTCTGCTGTTCGGTCGCCCAAGACATCCGGTGACAGGCTACACAGCCAGTCACCTTGACATGAGGTCTCCGTCTTGGGCCCAGCTCGACCAGCCTCGTGCAACCTCCGCAGTCCCGGGTCACTCTATTACGTGTCGTGGATGCATGGTCACCCACAAATGTGTGCCCAATAGAAAGAGGAATGGTGCCAAAGTTGCTACCATTTGTAACCAATCTCACCCATCCACCCGTCGTCGATTTGTCCAAGCCGTTTCGCTGTTGGCCCATGGCCCGCTTGTGTATGTACAAATGCCGCCGTCGTTGTACCCTAAGAATCGTAGCCCGACTCTCGTACCGGGAAAGCAGGGCTATTCGTCTATGATCACTTGGCTCGGCCTTGTGACAAAACCCACCGATGTTGAGGTTCGCCTGTCGGCTGCCGAGCTCTCCCAAACCACCAGTCGAAAGGGGAGACAGAGAATTTGAATTATGGCAGACGTCGTCCTCTGCGTTCGTGTTGCCGATGTGATGGGTTCGTGTTCGTGCTCCGTGGCCTGATGCCCATAATGTACTGAGGCGGATGTCGATCTCAACTGATCAACCTTATCACGCCCGGTGTTGTCGCGAGGGCCCCCCAATCCAGAATCCTTCTATGCAGAGTCGTGAAATGAATGGAAACGCCGTCCTGGTATCTCAAAAACGCAATGCGAAGACCGAAAATTGGTACCTGGACCGAATTCGTGTACGTCGTAAACGAGTGTATGACATCTCGTTGTCTTGGTCCGCCGGATCATTCTATCGACTTTCATCAAGTGTCAGGATCCGGATTGGTCGCCCGCAAGACTGGCTGGTGAACCTTGCGGGAGTAATCTTGGTCATCGCGTAGGGTATTAATACTCTCTGCACTCTTGTTGTGCACGTAGAGGCCCCTCGGGAGAGGGTCGAGGCGAGGATCGTGAGCAAGAAGGCGGCTTCGGCGATGGTCGCTTGAGGCGTCGGGGTCCCATCGTCCTCCATCAACAGTGACAACCATTTCGGGGTTTCGTGGCGAGCCGGTCATACCAGCGGAACTACCACGGTGGCTGGGCTCGTCGTATTTGTCGTTCTCGTTTTGATGTTGTCTCCGACGTCTGAAGAACAAGAAAAGTCCCAGTCCTGCAATGGCCACGACCGCAGCAATCACACCGACTACGATTCCAACAACAGCACCGGTGCTGGGTCCATTTGACGATGATTGGTTGCCGGGCGTCAGTTCGGAGGCACCTGTCGCTCCCTCGGTGCCCGTGGCAGTCGGCGTGACGAAGATGGTCCTCACGGTTCCGTCGGCTGTCACCGTTTGAACTGTCGATCTCGGTTTGCTGCTACTCGAAGTCTGGATACTCAGTCAGCGTTTGCTCGTGTCAGTGACACACCCCCTCATTTATCAAATGCAGGTTTACGGGCACGGCATGTTGTTGGGACTTTTGAGAGCATACAGATGTTGTTGACGTAGTCGTCGTTTCCGGGTCGGGCGTGACTGTGTTCTGAATTGTCTCAGTTTTTACTGTTGTGATGACTTGAACGGTTGTTGCAGGCGGGGCCGGAGGGGCCTGGTTTCCAGACGATTAAGCCAAGGCATCACACGTGGTGGAGGTGAGACGATGGAGTCTGGGGATGAGGTTCGGGATCGTGTAGGGGATGGAGATCACGCAGAATCACACATGCAATTCACGATACATGGCTGAGGGGATTGTACTCACTTGTGTGGTAGTGCTGGCTGCTGCCTTGGACGATGACGAGCTGTCACTTCCGCTGCCGGCGGTGCTGGTGGGAGTTTTCGCCAGCGTCAGGTATCCGTAGTAGTTGGGTCTTGAACCGCAGTGCTCGATATCGTAGCCGGGACATATATCGTTGCATTTGTCGTTCACATCGGCTTCACTGGACGCGGCCGGCGCGACATCAGAGCACCAGCAGGACTGCCATTGGACAATGGCAAAGGCGTAGTTCTTGTCTCGACAGAAGTCGGTGCATAGTCCGTTCGTCTGCCATGTGCTGAGATCTATTGTAGAAATGAATTAGTCACTGTATGCAGGTAGGGAGGGGAAGACGAAGGCTGAGCTGTTTTGAGGACGTTGAAAGCCTCACGTAGCGTTGCTGTATCATGTCTTCTTAGGAATTTTCCAACGTACTTGCGCTCATGGACGCCGTGTTCGTATTAGAGCAAAGGTTCTGCGTCAATTGTCGAGGCATTAGGATTTCGGGTTCCGGCGCAGCCTGTGCCATTATCGCACATGATGATAGCGCCAAGGCAAAGATGCCCAAGCATCTCGTCGTTCGTTCGGTGAAAGTCATGATAGATTCGTCTCGATACGCGATTGTACTGAAAGATTTTCGGTCAGCATAGATATTCGAGATTGAGGGGGAAGAAGTAGTTTTAGGTTCACGAAATAACCTCGGGACCAATGGCTGGGCTTCTCAAGACTCTGTACTTACACTTGCTGAAGTCAGACGCTCACGGGGCTGACATCTGACGTCTGGGTCGGTCGGTGGGCGGCGGGTGGAAAGGTTAAAATGTGCTCCCAAAGGTAAGATGCTGTGCCTGTCCTACACGACCACGCAGGCAAGCGGGAGACCGCAGGAATCGTCGACGAGGACTTTCACTGTCGTCCGCAACTGGTACCAACGTCGAGGATCGTTTATCGTTGCTCGAAACTGGAAGGGTGAAGGCCGCAAAATAGGTGCCGACTCGAACGAGGTTGAGTTCGGGAGGTGGGAAGAAGAGAATGGGAAAGCAGGCCGTGGCGTTTGGTTCAAGATTTGTTGGCGCCAGGTGTGGATGGGGAAAGAGGGCGAAAGGGTCCGGATGTAAAACCCAAGAGTGAACGCGGCGAATAATTACTGGCAGCCGAGAGTAGCCAAGCACCGATGGACCAGTGACTGAGATGATTGCCCCTAGAGACAGCTAGCGCGATGATTGAGGATAAGAATTGGGGACCTTTTGAGACAAGAGCAACGAGTCGACCGGGTGCGCAAGAGTCCGAGTATAATTATGGTCCTCCTTCTTTTTAATAATGAACAGCGTCCTTGTTTCCTCGATTAAGGTGTGGCCTGAGGGTAAGGGATGCGCAGGGTCTGTCAATCCGTCAGGGCTGATGCTGACTTTGTCGTCCAGGAGGTTGTTGACCTGACTGTGATCTGGTCGTGGTCCGGATGGTGAAGGGGAGGAGAGGAAAATGAGGAGGAGGGAAGGAGGAGAAGGTGTGGAGGAAAGAGGTGAAGTGAGGGCGATGATGGCGAAGTGGTGATGGTCAGGCAGCCCCGGGTAGAAAAGAAGCAGGCGCCAAGAGGAAGGAAGCGAAGGGAAGGAGCCAAGCCGCAAGAGCAGGGAAGAAAGTGGACAAGCGAGCGAGCGAGGTGGAATTGGTGGTTGGTGCCGAGCAGCAGAAGCAGCAGAATGCAATTCGTAAGGTATTAACCGGTATCTGCAGCTACAACGGCATCGGCAACAGGGCAAATGCAGCAGGCTAGCAGCGACAGTACCTTAGCTAGAAGTAAGACCCAGGACCCAAGCAAGCAAGGGCCAGGAAGGGAAACGAGAGACTGGGTGCAGGTAAGAGCTGCAGCGGAGCGACTGTGGTGGTGTATGGAGTATTCCCTCTCTGTATCTGTATCTGGACGGAGTACGAAGACTGCGTAGGTACGAACTCAAAGATTTGTGAGCTCTCTCTCTCGCTTTTGCCGGGGGATGCTTGCTTCACCAAGTTCACCAACAGAAACAAAGGCGGAAGAAGAGAGCGGGTGGGAACACTAGGAATAGTGTATTCGTAAAGGAAAAAAAGTTGACGTTAATGACAAAAAAGGATGAGGGAAACGAATGGAGTCTAGCTAGGCAGGCACACCGTAGGCTGAAGAACAGGCAAGGAAGAAGAGAGAAGGAGAGAAGATTCCAATATGGAAAAAGAAGGTGGATCGAGGAAGATGAGTTACAGGTAAAGAGGCAGAAGCCAGGTCACGGCTGCGGGTTATTTTCTGAGAGCGAGAAAAGGTAGGGATTGGGGATGGGGGGGCGTGTCACGGTGGCTACGGATACCGTGGATGATCATGAAATGGCATGGGCATGGGGAGTATCAGTAGAAATTTAGAATGGCACAATTAGGAAATCCGAGGAGGACGAGGGGGTGAGGGATTAGACGCTAGAGACAAGACGGTGATGGAGTGGATTTCTTGGGATGATGGGATGGCAACTGTCCGTGTGGAAGACGAATGAGGCGAGCACGAGCCGAGCAACGACCACCAAAAGCCAAGAACGACGCACGCAGCAGCAGTCACTGGCAGCACCTGCCTGCCAACAGCACCAGGAAAGCTGCAATATTGGAACTGGAAGGAAAGCCCAATGGGCGGGTGGTTGGAACTTGCCTTGCAGAAGGAGAGGGAAAAAAAAAAAGAAAAAGTGGATTTGACGTGACTGGAGTGGGGCCATCAAACCAGGACCAGGCAGGAAGGACACGACCCCATTTGATTGTGACCAGGACCAGGAAGGAACCAGGACTGAAGGGTGGGCGGTTCTTGCTTCCACAGTCCACACATCTCTCCTCACCTCAGCTCACCTCGATCACGTTCTCTAGTCTCTCTCTCTCTTCTCTGTGTGATTCTCTTACAACGCTCATCCGTATTACTTCCGCTCCCATTTCAATCCCAATTGCACCCAAGAAAAAGAGGCCATCCCATCCTTCATCCGATTGGACGTGCCAATGCCAGTGCTCTTTTCTCCCAAGTATCAGAGTGGAACACGACAGCTGAGAAACCCAATAGCATGACCAAGTGGATCATCTCACACATGTTGTGCGTTGCGTCCGCGTGCGAGCTTGCGAATGGCCCGCCAGAGACAAACTCGATGCTGGTGGCGGTCGATGGAACATGCTCATAGTACCTCAAGCTACGAGTACTCTACTGTACTAATAAGAGACGCCAGAAGACATAGCAAAGGCCATCACCAGGCACATGGTACACAAGCATGTGTGTAACGACGTTGCAGCTTGACCGTTGCATTCGCATCCAATCCGGATCAGTGGACGGCCGGCCGGCCATGAGCCCTGCGATTGGGATAGGAGCAAGTGTGCCTCCTGCCTGTCTTGTGAAAGCCGCGAGCTAACAAAGATGCAGAGAGCGATATAGATGTACCAACTATGCCACTTGTGTCCAACTGCATAACGAGCCTTTTCTCGCGACGACACAACTTGCACAACGACAACCAAGTGCGAGTCCAAGTCAATACTTCGTCCTCAGCAGTCAGCACCAAAGGCACCTCTGATCTTTTAGCCCTGCTTATATGATGCTCGCCGACCCTTCGCTGTCCTCGCCATCGTGGACCTGGTTTCCCTGACTCTCCAAACTGCCCTACGGCAGGGGAATTAATTGTCTCTACACATCCGAGGGACAATCAGCGAGAGAGGTGCCAACCACAAACCCCTACCAATGGCACTGAAGTCGACACGACATCCCGGTCACAGCAGAATACCTAGCCCAAGGAGTCCCGCTTCGCGCGCGCCCGGCGCATCCATCCCGAGCTCGGCCTGATGTAGCTTAGACTGACTGTGGCGTCGTGGGCAGCGCACAGTTAGTCGAGCTTGCAGGGGTCTCGACGAACATCCAAATCAAACGCAGCATGCGGACGGACCGACAGAAGTGCCCGAGAACGAACCAACGATGCGGCTGTGTGAGTGGATGAGCAGACGCGGCGTCCGTCCATCTCAATCTTGCGTTCCTCCCGCCGCCGTATCGAAATGACTGAGAGTCTGTCAATCCCATCAATGCTGTCTAAGCGGCAGGCATTGCGGCGGCGACCAAATGTTTATTACCGCCGCCAACCCTATCCTTCTTCTTGTTAATGACCACAGTCACTCCCTCATCTTTGTTCTCCATCTACGCAGTTTGGGTCTCGGACTTGGATGAGAGAGAGACTCGAATGAGTGATGGATGATCTGTCACTCCCAAGATGCACCTTCAAGAACTTCCCTGCCCATCTACCCCTGCTCCTGTCACACCCCTGATCCCCTGAGCCCATGTTGAATGTCGTCACTCTCCACTATCAAGCTCCAGAAAGCACTGACCAGCAAGCGCTTGACTTCTTTCGTCTCTATGGTCGTTGATAGGTGGATCTGGCATGGCACAAAAACAACATAAAAAACAGCGATACGGATGGATACATTGTCTCTCTGGCCGCTTGTGCCGTGCCTGGCAACACAAACTAGACATGTTTACCCATGAGGCATGATGCCTGCATTCCTTGCCGTAGCCTGACATCTTCTCAGCTGCCTTCAGCGGTTGTCTCTGTCTCTCACCCAAAACGTCTCCCTCTTCCCCTCACCCAGAACCTCCAGGCTTTGCCCCAAAAGCTCCCCAACTCCGATACCCCAAAACCCCCGGCGCAACACAAGCTGAAGCCAAGCGCTGCAACAGCGACAGAGTTCTCCCCCACAGCGATGATCTCGTCGCTAAAACACCAGACATAAGCAAGGGTGGGCGCCTCCACGGATCCAATTTACACTGCCAACTTTGGAACATGCTATTTTGCTTTACCGCCCGCCCTCGCTCTCACTCATTCGCTCATTCAATCGGTGAGGGATGGATGGATGGATACCTTACTCGATCCGCCTCGAGTGAGGCTACGCACTCATTGAACACAACACACCGTGCCATGTGTGAATACGATGTCGGAGATGCGCGCTGCAGCGTCATGTTTGAGCCTTGATTGCAGTCCAATTCCCGCGGCTCCGGGGAATCCAAAAGCCTCAATGTGGTTGGACATTTCGACGTTTAATTCAACCCCTTCAATCTTGTTGCTTATCTTATTCCGCCCACTCTGCTGATTGTTCGCAAGAAATGTCTGAGTCGTGAATGCATCCACCACCAGACAGAAACCTCCACTTTGACATTTGTTTTGCGGATATTTCACATTTGCTTGTTCTTGCGTGCAGGGCGGCCACGTTTCGTCTGTCTCGTCCTGCTTTCTCGGTCTCTGGGGCCATTATTGCTGTGCCGAGAATACTTCATGCCACTCGTACTTGCTCGCTCTCATACTAATGACACCAGGTCTATCTCATTAGCATTTGGGTCTTCTCATCCTTCTGGCCGGTTGCTACCGTCTCCTCGTCTTATCCTCATCCGGCATTGAAGTCCTGCTGGTTCTCTGGTTACGAATTGGCTCTCAGTCACCTTTCACGGGCTATTCCCCAACCACATTGTTTGCAGTCACGCAGCCACGCTATACGAGGCCAGGAACACCATGGCCGGGGCCTCCGGTTGTTTCGGGGGCGCAAACGGCATCAATAACATGTATACTATATGATACTTTGCCTCACTTGGCCGTTGACATGGCGCCTGGACATCTCATTGATGCTAGGATACCAGCGAACGATCTCATCATGTCCCGAACTTCGCATACATACCTTTGACTCCCACCGCTTTCCGGTCTGTTTTTTGTACCTCTCGCTTGGTGTCGTTGCCCGCCCAGACGGGCTGACGCTGATAGACAAGTACGGTCTCGGAGCGGGTTACCCGGAGGCCAGAGCCCACTGGCACGCCGAGTCATTTCTGGTCCATTACACTTCATTCTGCCCGGTTCCCTCGGCTCACGTCCGTGATTCATCTACATTAGATACCAGACTACATTCATCTGCAAAGGCAGTCAGTCCAGCAGCCGGATCGCGTCGGTCGTTGTTCTCGTCATGGAACTGTTACTGTCCCACGTTCCCACACCCACTCACACCCACCAAACACACCAAACACACCAGTTCAAATTCACCGTACATGTACTCGCCTGGCGCGCCGATAACAGCATAGCAGCGCGACGAAATGCATGTTAGCGTTGCCGCTACTATGAGAAAAGCCCCCCCCGTTGCAATCCCCCCGTGCCCCCCTCATGGCTTGAGCCGCCGCATCAGGTTACACCCTCAACGCTCTCCCTGGCTACCGCACCTTATTATCTTGCTGCAAAGGGGTATGTCTCCTTTTGCTCGTTGGGAACCATTGATTTTGATTTGTGAGCATCGTCAAGCCATCCCCTTCCCAGGGCAGGAGCACCAGCGCCAAACATATGCGGCAGTGCTTTACAGACTTGGTTATGCTGCTTTGGCTCTTGGGCCGCTTTCTGTGCGGTGTGTGTGCCTGCCACTGTCACCCTACAAGTTATTCTGCCTTGGATTAACACGCTTGTCATCCCGGTCTCTTCATTCCATCCCATGTCCGGTAAATCGAAGCTATCGTCTGTCGTACAGAAAGGAACGACGGACGAAATACTCAGCATCCCGGCTTCTACCACCACCAAAACGGTGTATTCCGTAGAGAAACCTGGTGAATCCATTACCATGGGTATGTTGGAGAACTCTTAACCCCCATTTGGCATCGCTCGAGGCAATGGTCGCATGCATCCAAACGACCGGAGCCGCAGGGGTGGCGGGCAAGCTTCAGTTCTAACCTCTGGTACCATGGTAATGTCGAAACATCAGTCAAGATGCGCCACCCGGGCAAAGAGGCAGAATATTCCGGCACTTGTTTTCCAGAACCCCGCCACAAGCAGTAGTTGGTCCAGTTGTTTTGCGGGCTTCCGGAGAAATAAACACCTGCTTCTGTTTGGTATTTCTCGACAGAAGAAAAGGACGGATGGCTGGGTGACGATGGACTAGGTGCCACGGTATTCCCCGTCGCTCATCCATCCCACCACCCCCGGAACGCCGAAAACCTTCAAGCTCGCGCCCGCCTGAATCTTCCAATCGAGACCGGGGCCCCATTGACAAACCTCGCCGACCTTCGGCAAGACTCACTCATATGCGCTGCCCGGCCTGCCCTATGATAGATTCCGTCAAGGCGTGATCACCTACATCGCATAATGATATTAACAGTCGGGCACACCAGCGGAGAACTCAAGCCAACATCAAGTTAGTCTGACCTCCCCATGACTGAGCATGGGCACGATTTATCACCACATGACGAGCTTCGACTTCGTATTACCAACCTCGTGGTTTACATCAGATGCATCTACATCTGATAAACAAAGCCTCCCGGAAGAAAGAGGGGACCAATTATGCCGTAGAGGCCACGCCATTTCGGCACGAATCGGGCCTCGTGCCGCAAAACCGTATGCGCGAACGCGGCGCCGGATCCGGGGGGTGGTTTCTCTCTCTTGCCTTAACAGTCACTAGGTGTACACAGGGAGTTACAAATCCGTGGAATGGTTTATTGCACGATATTCCTGCTCATGGCTTCACCTTTTATTTAAGATGCGGGTCAGGTTTATGGGTGTGTTCTGCACTTTGCCCATGCATTGAAACTTTTGGTCGCGGACGGAGTTGTCAAACCAACAAGGCCGAACTGCTTCCGCATGCTTCCGCAGAGAAATCCATCTGCTCCGGCCCCGGAAGGATCTCGAAAAAAATAAAAAAATAAAAATAAAAAAAGTCAATTCAGCCACCTCTAATGAATGCGGAGTCGGCTGCGGGGAGCAGAGGCAGCGAACAGGCTACTGCCTGCGGTAAGGTAGGTGTGCAAAAGTGACAACTTGACAAGGTCCTACCTGTAGTCGACCGATGGCAGCAAAGAAACAAGATTTGGTTTCCAAAGGCCCGATAGTCGCGGCGTTGCCTCCGTACAGGGAACAAGGTGGTTTTGGCCTACCATTTCTGATTCTTTCTTCCTGTTCAGTTTCTTTAAGCTTTCAATCCCAGTCCTTCGCACTATTCAGCAGCTGCAGTATTGAAACGATGGCGGCAGCGCGAAGAAGATCGCAGACTCGTTCGCACTAATGGACTCCGGAGTCTCTGTATCCCGAGTACTGGTCACCTCTTGGGTCTTCTTGGCTCTTCTGCAAATCGGTGTACCCGCCAAGCGAGACGTCGTGCGCCGTTTGCCGTTCATTATCGCGACTGCATGTATGCATGTACATCGTAGAGAGGAGGGAGGGGACGATCTTTCATGGAGGCTCTTGTTGTCGAAATCGCAGGGACCTACCCTCTTGCGCGCGATTGGCGAATGGCTTTTTAATGATGTGAACGATGAGCGGTTCCCTCCCTTCTCTGTGGTGGTTGCAGACTTGATGGTGGGTTGTATGCAGCGCGACGCCTGCATACGAAAAGGGATGGGGTTGGGTTGCGGAAAGATTGGGGGGATACGAGGCGCGATTCGGATCACATGAAGCCGTCGGGGGCGGGATTGGAAGTCTTGGGAGCTGGGAGCATACGGCGGTTCACCCAGAAAAGTCATCTCATCTTTTTTGTGTTGTTTCCACGGGCGGCAAAAGTCCTCGGTAATCAGATGTCTCTTCTCGGGGAGCGTCTTTTGATTCTCACCCGGTCTTCTCGTTCCTTGATGAGTTTCGTTGGCTTTGGGGGGGGGGGGTCGTTGCGATACCCTAGCGGCAGTATAGGGGAACACACGCGGAGAAGACGGCGGCGGCGGCGATTTGAAAGCCTCTTCTGTAGAGTCTAGCATCGGTTTCTCACTTTTACTCCACCCTCCACATTTACACCGTCCGTCCATCCCATTGTTCGAGATGGAAACCCTCTTCGTCGGGTTCGTGCGCCGCATTAGTTCTTGGCTACAACCTCTCCAAGCACCCAAGCTCCCCATCCCCCTCTATCCACGGGGGCTAGTGATGCAGGCCGCGAACACGGACCAAGATACGCGGTGCCGGGCTTTCGAGTTGAACTTGTAAGGAGCCACGGAGCATAGGCTTACGGTGTACTGTACAGTAGCAAATCTTTGAAGCCGGACGGGGAGCTAGGACGATGGAGTCCTGACGTGCTCGACTTACGGTTCTTGGAGGGGCCTTTCCGCGGCACGCTCTGCCGCCCATGGTATGCAGTACACAAGTGGCGAGAAAGGAGTCTTGACCGTCACATTGCAGTCCGGCACAGTCTGTTTGCTATCATGGCAATGGATGTTTCGCTTCAAGCTGTCATGATGGAAGGATTCCTCGACGTGTACAACTGTCTTTCGTCAGCGTCAAACCATATTCATCACTACCCAGTCATCAACTTGGCGCATCACAGTCGAGAGCGGCAGTCACACATTCAACCACCACCAGGCTGAAGGTGTTTTCCTGAAACCCGATGTTATCCTGTCAGTGTCAAAGAAAGGGCTCGTATTACAAGGTGCCAATGGAAACTGCCACTGTCACTGTCAAGATTGCGACTGTCTGACAATCCAATAAGAATTTAGCATATAGCTTTACTCACCTACCTTCAGGCTTCTTGCCGTTTCGTCTTGAGTCGGTGTGATTGAGCCTCCTCTTTTCTTAGTGAACGGTCAGTGCCAAAACTCTAAGGGTGTTATCGTCCGTCCGGGACGAGGAGCCTTTTGATAGTAAACTAAAAATATTTCCGGTTCATTTTTCAGCCTCACAATTGTAACCCTCTAGAGTGTTGACCACTGGTTGGCGAGTACTTCAACGTCAAGCACCATATATCAACATCATGAGGATTCCATGTATCAACAATACTTTCGCATCATGGCGCCATGATGGAGCTCGATCTTAGAATCGACGGGTACAGAGTGGTGTTCCCGCATCCTGCGAGAAGCGGAACATCCAAGCCTCTCTGTTCCAGTTGCTACCCCACGCCTGACCCCGCCATCCAGCCGCCGAACGATATAGGACCATCCATGGTCGGTACAGCCGTCTCTATGTGTTGATGAGATCTATCATCTATAGATTATCAAAAACAGACCAGAGGACAGAGCTTTTCTCACAGTGTAAGGCGGGTCACGTCATGTACGCATCCGCACAGGTGCAGCGTGACTGCCCGCTTTCGGTGGAGAGAGATGCTTGGTGAGCTTGGTGGGGGCGGCCAGCACCAGGCAGCGGTTATGTGCGTTGACAGGACAGGGCCTTGAGAGGTATTTGTGGTTCAATCTGTGCTTTTGTGGAATATGGTGGGTTTATTGATGAAAACAGAGAGGTTGGAGAGGTTCTTATTCACGATCAACTCAAGTCGGGCGACAGCGGTTGCGGCGGCGGGAGTCGAATCATGAATGGGTCCAAGAGTGTGCAGCAGTACCAGGTAAGACATGTCCGCGAGATGCAGATACAAACTATCTCGCGATTCGAAAGGTTTCGCAGATTAGAGTGTACCGGCCGAAAGAGTTAGAAATGCAGCGCGGGGGATTGCTTCCATCGATGATCAACGGTCCCGAGTCCCAACCACCTTGCCTATCACGAACGTGGGGGGATAAGTAACAAGATGCGTGACCATCCAGCCGGGGTGCCGGCATGCCGGCTGGCCGCGGTTGCATGTCTTTCTTCCAACAACTTGTTTTTGGCCTTGTTTCTTGTTTATCTTGTGCGATGTTACACGCCCGACTCACCGCATGTTCACGTGTGGTTTCACCATGTCCTCTGTGCGACGCTCTTCGAGTTCTGGGTAGATGAAGAAGTCTCGTGAAGCTATCGTCGAGGACAGGGGCATGATGAGAACACATGCACACAAGATAGAGGTAACAGAGAGAAAGAAAAGTAGGTCATGGCAATCGAGGCAATCGAAAGGTTATCCGAGGGCTGACAGAGGATTGGTTGGCAGGCCGAGCTGTCGTTATTTCGGCGGTGGCCGGGCCAGGATCGGCCGCGTGCTGCTCCCGCCGATGCCGCATGCGGGGCAGAGCGTTGCCCTGTAATAGTACGGTTGTGCCGCCGTGACCTACGGGCCCTGGACAGTGGACGTTATGTGCCGATCCCTTCGTCTTACCGCCTGTCGACTATCTAAGTAGCCAGTGGCTTTGAGATATAGTATTTGTACCCATGGGACTAGTATCCGAGCTTGGCACAGTCGTACACGATGCTGATATCTTCGTGATGGATTCAAACAACTTGCTTCACGTTTCTACCTCTTCTCAGATGGCTTTCCCCAATGACAGGATAACCCCTATAATCTCAGGGGCAACCCGCAGAAAAGATGGTGGAGCGCTTTGAGCCGCCCGCGTCCCGCCCGGAGGCAAAGGCAATTCCGGAACAACTTTGGTGCGGTCTTCGATTCATTTTCATACGGCGCACGTGGGCCCCCTAAAGCCACGGTCCACGGCGGACGTCCAACGGAAACCAGTGACGTGACGGTCGACTAAGCTCTGAGGCTCACTCTCACTCTCACTCTCGCTTCTCACTCTCGAGTCTCCCTCAACAGTAAAAGCATCTGAACCTCACATGTCCGCGCCCCGTCCCCCTCCCTGAACCTTCTCTTTCTCTGACTACTTTCTTGGAGAGTGTGTGGGAGAAGTAAAGTGTGGGAAACTCGGTTTTGTTGTTTGTACATCATTTCTTCTTCTTCTTCTCGTGTACCTAATTGGACGTCATTTCCAAAGAACCGAGTCTCGGGCATATCCCCCTTTTCTTCAACGGTTCCAACGAGACTTTGCTGCCGAGCCTTGCGGGGCCACCCTCTCCGTGCCGGAGTCCTGAAGAGCACCGCACCGCGAGCCAGCCAAACAAGGTGCCAGGAGCTCCGTCATCCGCGTCTCACCCGAGAGAGGAGCCTCATCCGTGCATCGCGGACCTCTCGGATCACACCCCCCGTCCGCATCTCTGCATCTCAGTACAACCTCACTCGTCCCGCTCACTCATTCACTCACTTCAAACGAGTGTGTGTGTCCCTCACTCACACACTTACGCGTGCCCTGTATCACACACTCTCACACACACCCGCGGTTTATAGACCGCGGTGTAGCCTTCCAAGATGCGTTTCCACTGCATGCCCCTCCTCTACGTCCTCTCCTTCTTCCTACTCGTCTCAGCCCTCTTCTCCGTCCTCCTCTCACTAGCCCCCTGCTTCGTCAAGTCCAAGAACCACTGCTACCGCGGCTATGAATCCCACTACTCCTTCGACGTTGACAAGGCCGACCACGCCGAATGGATGAAGGCCATCCCGGATGAGGCCAACCTCACCTCACTCTCGATCCCGGGCACCCACGACACCCTCACCTACGACCTCACCAACCAGGTCTTCCAATGCCAGAACCACAACCTCTCGGCCCAGCTGCACGCCGGCATGCGCTACCTCGATATCCGGGGCCGCCTCGTCAACGACTCCATAGAGATCTACCATGCCTCCATGTACACGGGCCACTCCTACACGGAAGTCCTTCTCACCCTCTTCGACTTCCTCGACGACCACCCCAGCGAGACCATCGTCATGCGCCTCAAGGAGGAGGGCAGGCCCCTCGGCACAAATAGCATGACCTTTGAGGACGCCTTCAACTACTACCTGCACAACTCCACCGCCACCTCCCCCGGCGCCAAATCTCACTTCCGCAAGCACAACCCGCGCAAACCCTACCCGACCCTCGGCGCCCTCCGCGGCAAGATCTTTTTGCTGCAAAACTTCCCCTCCAAGGGCCCCGAGTCGCCCTACGGCGTCATCTGGGAGTCAGCCGACATGGTCCTGGAGGACCTCTGGATCATCCCCAACGTCGAGCATCTCTACATGAAGTGGGAGGCCGTCGAGAACGCCCTCCGCCGCGCCGCCACGGCCAAACCGCACGCTAACCGCGTGCTCTACCTCGCGCACCTGAGCGCCAGCGTCGGCGTGCTGCCCATCGAGGCCGCGGCAGGGAACCTGAACCGGACGGTGGCCGGCATCAACGACCGCACCGGCGACTGGCTCGCTGCGACGGCGGACCGGGGGGACAGCGGGAAGACGGGTATCGTCATTATCGATTTCCCCGGCAAGGAGCTGGTGGATCTGGTGCTGGCGCGGAATAGACCGCTAACGGACCGGAGTGCCGAATTGTGAGAGGCCCCGAATGTAGAGCTAGAAGTGTAACCTCACCCCTGGAGCGGATTTTGTCGTATATCAAGCGTAATACCATTGTTCTTTGATACTTCACCGTTGCTTGCCTCTCACCCTCTCCATGATTATCGTGGTCTTCGAACGTTACATCTATCTGCTCTACACGATTCATGCGTTTCCAGCATACACGCCCCTTCCACGTTGCGAAAACTAAGGTAGACTATGTTTCCACGTAGGCAAGACAGAACCACAATGCCCAAACCAGAAGCTGCATCAAAGACTGCTTCGTTATCCTTCTCGTCTCCCAGGGAGAACCACCAGACCGCCAGCCTTTCGAAAAGTTGGTAATAGCAAAGTGAAGTGAAAACAGCGGGATTTGGACGCCAAAGGCTCAAATCCTCAAAAGTACACTACGGGTGCGGGTAAGGGGATGGTTCGATGGTTGGTTCGTACTGTCTAGACGACGAGCCACGGCAACGGTTGAACCAAACGACAACTTCCTGACGGATACCGCTCCACTTTTCCCTTGCTCCTTTTCCCCCTCGCTCGCCGACCCGCCCGAGATGAGGATCTTCGCCGGGGAAAACGACTAGCGTCGGAAGCCGGGTGATCCGCATAGCCCGAAACGGCGCCGGCCTTGATGTGGAGTTGTTTGACGAAGACCTATTACGCATTTTACTTTTTCGTTGGTGGTTTTTTCTGCCCGGCCGGCCGGCGACGCAAAACCCCATATGTTCCTTTCGGGGTCTTTACCCTTTGGGTTTTGTTAGTTTGACTGTCTGAGCGGATAGTCTCTCATCGCGAATCAAGATTTCGATAGGGACCATAGGGGGTTCTTGAGGGTACTAATGACCCCTTAGACATGTTTACCACCTGTGTGATTCGGGCCTTTTGGAAGGCAAACAGGACACACGCGCGGTTAGGGATCCTCTTGGTTGAGAATGCTTTCGATGCGGGCCAAACTACAGAAGGCGGAGGCAGTCTCTTCTTTGTTCGTTGTTGACGCCGGCTGTGTCGAGTGCTCATCATCATCATCATCAACGACATGGCCGACGCGTCTGCGGAGAACCCCCAATCGAATATGCGTTAATTTCTCCTCAATCTCGATCTTGTAAACGCAAGCGACTGCTACGTGTTGTTTCCTTGACGCCGTCCCACCTCGGCTAATCCATCTTCATCAGGTATTTTCCCAAACCCCCACATTTGGGAGCGCTTTTTTGACGCCAACTACGCAAGTGGCGGTTTCAGCTTGCGTGCGTTCCCGAGCTGCCAAACCAGCTTAAGGGCCTTTTTGGGTCTCCCATTTGTTGGCGTTGCTGGGGCTCAGGAAAACGGAACATGGTAATTTCTGTTCGAGGTTGTGTTGTTCGATGGTGATTGGTTCCATTCATTACTTGGTCGTGTTTTTTTCACCAAGCCCTCCCCGGCTCTACCTCGTGGGATGAGAGATCGTCAGGAACGTGGATATCGCCGCACCGTCTTCACAAACCCCCATGGTAGCCACGCATACGGACACTGACGGGGTCGCGGAACGATCTTCATGGTTCCTCAGCCCCGGGGGTGGAAAACTTTGAATGGCCTGGAACCCGATATGAAAACCGGATCGATCGAGGAACTTGTGGTTCTAAAGCGGAGTTTTGATTGATATCGTTCGTCAATGTTGGAACTCATTTTTCGGTTCTAAGCTCAACTCCGTCATTCTCGGCTGAATCGCTCTCCATCTGCCAAGATCGAAGCTTGGGAGAACCGAGTCCGATTGCCGAGTCCTTGGGGCGAGCAAAGCCGTTTACGCAAGACACTCCCCGTCTCTTCCCCTTTTCCCCCTCTCTTAGCGCCGAGTCCGTGAAGGGAGCTTTGTTCATTGCCTGGTATGTTAAGAAAAGTACTTTGAGAAGATCACTGGAGGGGAGTAAGTCTTCACATGGGACCACGGACGAGATATGAGGGCACCCACGATCACATGGATTGGGGGGTGAGTATGCACATCTAGCGTTGACATCAGGGCGGTCGCGTAATAGCGGGTTGGGTCTATTGCGCTGTGTTTGAAAGCTCAGTCATAGAGGTGAGACTACGTAGGTTGTATGCTGGATAGAGGATGGTGTCTATGGTTAAGAGATGAACCTACTGGGGGCTTTGTGTCCTGGTGATCTTTTGTTCCTAATCAATTGATAGAATATGTACGGACGGCGCTGTTTGGCCGATCGATCTGGTTCCTGAGTTGTGAGTAGAAAACTTGAAGACGGTTAAGTGTATGTTGCTCATAGCAGGAACGTGGGCTGATGAATCCTGTTACCGAAGGGAAAATGCTATTCAAACATAACCCAGGTGTCACAGATTGCAGTACTTCGAGTCTCTACTTGTAAGGTAGCCTTGACTACTGAGATCCTTATATTTCTACCTGAAAACGTGAGTTGATTTACCATCCAACGAGATAGGTGTAGTTAGTTACCTTACTTGAAGTGATAGTCTCCCCAAAAGGAATTGCTATCGCCACAATCATGTTTGATGTAAGCATTTGGACCATTATCTGGTATATCCAATGGTAGCTACGGTTTGATACTCTCTTTCTGACTCCGAGATAATGTAGTTCAAGCTTTATAAGTGATGTGCAGTCTTGTAGGTGGACTTAGCCTAGATCTACTGATTGTGAAGAATGATGCAGGAACGTTGGAGCATATGTTCTCTTAATCAAGGCGATATCTCCATCTGGATTGCGTAGAACCTGTCAGTTATCACACTTTCTCCAGAGAAACATAAGTAGACTTAAGAAGTTGATAATAGGCTAGTAGGCTAGATTTGCCAAGCACATAGTCATGCCGAGAAAGTTGTCAGAGGTGAAGTTTTGCCAAAGAGCTAATGGCTGACAGCACCAAGGTTGCTGGTCCATTTGTATGTTTAAATTAGGTTGAGATTCAGATCGATAGACAAAAATGCAGTAAAACATTCGAATCAGCAGTTAGACATCAATGTTCTCAACTACCGAAGCGCCGACTTCCTTGCCAAGGACTATGGGGTAGTGAGTCAATCATCAAGACATTCAGCTGCAAAGTGCCTGTAGCCAACAGACTACGATTTTCATGAATCTCTCTAAGGAATTGAAGGTGTTTGTTGGCAGGTGTGATATAGGAGAGAGTCGCTGCGTCAAGTATTTCTAACATTACCTGCTAACCATATGTCGTAATTCAGGATGCAACTTCCCTCTCGCCTAATTTTTCTTGGCATCTGCTGTTAGTGAATGAGTGAGCCTACCACCAAATTACTAACAGCCGAAAACTCTTCACCTCCCCTTGCCGGAGCCCGCATCCGCGATGGCCTCACAGCCGCCGTCGGGCACCGGACTGATGTCGGCCGACCAAGCCGACCCCGAACCAGGCTCCGGGACACCTCCGGAGCCGAACCCCACCTCAAGAGCTAAGCGACGCCGCGACGCCGAGGCACAGCCGACCCGGCCCAGCCTAACGGGAAGCCAGCTTGATGCCACCACCGACGCCCCTACCTCGGCCGAGGGGCCCGCAGCCTCTACCGCATCTGCTCCGAGCGGATCTGCCACAGGGTCCGTCTTGACAGCCCTTGCAGAAGAAGCTAGACAGTACGAGGCACGGAAAGACGTCTTTCTGACCATTGCACGGTCCGTCGACAGCGTTGTCGCCAGCTTTGACGGTTCTAGAAAGCAGATCGCGAAAGAAGCCACTGCCTATGTCATTCAAACCCTCAAGAGACTGATCAATCACGAGACAAGCCCAATAGCGGCCCGGAGTTGGGCGGCTGTCGTCGCACCGATGGCGGGCAACACCACTGCGGCGACCCGGAGCGGCCAGAGCTGCCAGAGCTCTGCCCGCCCGAAGGCCACACTCCCCGCCGAGGATCAGCCGCAGGCGCAGCCGAAGGAGGACCTCCGCATCTTTGCCCGCGTCCCGGAAGAAAGCTTAGCGGCCGCTCGGAAGATCGCACCGTTCGCCGTACGACAGATCGTCTGTAAGGCCGTTGGCCTGGGGCTAGCGGACCTTCCCCACGTCTACCATATCAGCACAGGTTACTCTCTGAAGCCGCGAAACAAGCAAATACAGGAAAGACTACTTACAAGTAAGGCAAAGCTGGCGGAATGCCTCGGCGCCCACCAAGTCGAGACGCCTATCAAGTGGCACACATACGTTGTGCCGCGATGCCCAACAAAACTACACAGCATTGGCGGGGACGTC